TTATTGCCTACTCCTTTCTACTTTGAGAATTCTAATTATATGAATGTAAGTTTCTTGGTTTTGACACAGTGAACTATTATGACTGATCTGTAAATTCTTCATTTTTATTTTGGACAATTTTTGTTATATTCATTTATGTTTGTAAATAATCAATTTGCAATCTATTAAAAAAGATAAAAAGTGGATTTGTATTTCTATATTGGTTTTATTATGCTTAGCATTGTAAACAGATGAATCTGTTAATTTTTATAACATTTTTATAACAGGTTAAGTGTTAATTTTTTTATATATATTTTTTAAGATTTTGCAGAACGAGCAACTAGATGAAATCTCTTCCTTGGGCAATGAGGAAGTTTCAGCAGTTAGCCAAGCGTGGTTTACAACTAAAGAAGATAAGGATTCTCTAACTAACAAAGGTACTGCACAGTGGGGAATAATGGAGAAAATAGGATCATAAAGTTCTGCGTTGGGCTTTTCTTTGAGTGACTTTGCAGTAAGCCCAGAAAGTAGCGTTTTTTTGTTACTGTTTTTCTGTTTCTGATACAAAGTAAATTTTGTTTTATTAAATTTTGAACAAATAACCAGATGTGTGGGGTGGCACACATCTGTAATCCTAGCACTCCGGGAGACCAAGGCAGGAGGATCAAAAGTTCAAGTCCAGCTCCGGCAACTCAGTAATTTAGGGAGATCTTGTCTCAGAATAATAAAAGGTGAGAGATGTAATTTAAAACAAAAGCCCTGGCTGGGTTCAGTTCTCAGTATCCTGGAAAGAAGAGGGAGGGAAGGAAGTCGAACAGATTATAGAGGTGGCATTTGAAAGACTATACAGTTACTGCTTATGAGAATTAGAAGTCAGACGTTTTCAAAGATCTGTTTGGTCTGAAAGCAGCTTGGAAGGTTAAAATAGCAGTGCTTACTTCATAGTGCAGCTAAGCTGAGAAGAGTAGCCAGGGAGGTGAGAAATAGCGAGCTGGTAGAAAAGCTACTTGAGGGAAGATGCTGAGATGAGCAGTTACTCTCAGCGAATACCCTGGAAGTGCCGTGTTCACTCAGTGTACAGTGTCTTATGTTTATCTTGCCCTAGAAACTTGGTTACGTGCTCTTTCACTTGTAAAACTTCTTTTCCTTTTTTTTTTTTTTAATTTTGAGTCAAGTTTTCACTGAGTTGCTCAGACTGGCCTTGAACTTGTAGACCTCCTCCCTTTGGCCTCCCAAGTAGCTGAGATTATAGGCATGTGCTACCATTCCCGGCTAGAATTTTTTTTTTTTTTTAAATTTAAAAATACATTTATTAGAGCCGGCCATCTGGCTCAGCAGATTAAAGCACCTACTTAGGCAGACACAGGGCCTGGGAGTTCGATACCCTGGCCTGCTGTGCTGACCCTGCTCCTGGGGTATGTTGAAACAGTGATTGAAACTAGGCATGGTGGCGTGTGCTCGTAATCTCAGCACTTGGGAGACTATGAACAAGAGGATCGCTATGAGTCTGATCTACTCATTGAAACCCTGTACACCCTGTATACCCATTATTTATTTGGTACAGGGTCTCCAAATGCAGCTCAGACTTGTAGTGATCCTCCTGTCTCGCCCTCCCCAGCACTGGAATTACAGGTGTGCACCATCATGCCCAATTTCAGTGGTCTGCACGGTGTGGTACCGGGGATCAAACTCCGGTTCTTGTGCTTGTCAGGCAGACCCTTAGACTGCTGAGCTATCGCCCCAGCCTAAAATCTTTTTTATTGAACAAGTTTTTCAGAATATTTTTAGCATAATGAAATAATTATAATTAAATAATTTTTATATATTTATGTTTTTTGCTAGCAGTTGTACATTTCTGCAAGTATAAAAGAAGACAATATTAATATCTTTGGTATTATCTTTACTCAGTAGGGTCAACTATATTCCTACCTAAAAACCAGAGCTTGCAGAACCAGTATCGTCTGTGGAGTTTTCAGATTTCAGATGGACAAGAAGTTAAATTTGCTACGTTGTATGTCAGCTGATAATCACAAAGCAAGTCTTTGGTATTTTAATTTTCTTGCGGAGTAACATTTTAAAAAAATACTTGTTTTCTTTTAAAGGGCATAAATGGAAGCAGGGGATGTGGTCCAAGGAAGAAATAGATATTTTGATGAACAATATTGAGCGCTATCTAAAGGTATCTGTGATACATTTTTATTTTTCACTAATTTTTTTCCTAAAATACATAAGTATTATATGGACTTACTTGGAGCTCACTGATTTTTGTAACAGTGACCTATTAATATGTTATGGTTTAATAATTCTAAAGTATATCATTATAGTGTAGTTTCTTCAGTATCTTTTGCTTTGTTGTCTTTTCAGTCAGACCATAAATTATATTATCTAAAGTCTTAAGGTGCTAGGCATAGTAGTGCACATTGTAATCCCAGCACTTGGGAAGCTGAAGCAGGAGGACTGTGAGTTTAAGCCTAGTCTAAACTACATGATGAGACCCTGTCTCAAAACTTCAAATAAAACCTAAAGTATGCATGTTCTTTGAATATGTATTTTATGAGTCCTTTTGTAGAAAGGCTTTAGTTTATACTCATGTTCAGGCTTCTTTCTTGCTAGCTTATTTCTCTTGTTCAGTGTGCTTTGAATACAGTATTTTGAGGCACTAGATACAAGAATTTCCTTAACGTGTGTAAGCTTTTCTGCAGTTTACAATCCCTTGGAGACAGATGAAGAGGGAAACAAGGCTCTCTGGCCCTGAGTTACACTGCCCCAGTCCGAAAAGGAAGAGTGTGTCCTTGGGGTTGGAACACCTGGGGGAGTTCTGAAGAGCAAGAGTTGGAACTCAGTCTGTGGAGAGGACTGACCAGGGCACGGTGTGTGCGAGCAGAGGAATGAGGTGCAGAGCACGAGTTCAGATGTGTGGCCTGTAAGGCTGGGCCAGAGAATGATGGCTGTACCTGACTTAGTAGTAGGAGCTCAAATTGCGAAGCAGAACTGGGGACTTAGTTAGGTGAGGCCAGTGGGGACAGATCCATCCTTTTCTCCTGGAGGGACAGATCCATCCTTTTCTCCTGGAAGTCTTTTGCAGACTTCCCTGTGATGCTAGACTGCGTAGTAGCATCTGGAGGTGGTGTGGACATTGATGTGGTGTTTATTTGACCATTCTCCTGGTGTGTGATATGTTTATGTGTATAGTGCCCTCTACGAGGACCGCCTTCTCAGGTGATTCTTATTTGAAGGTTCTTCCACTAGCTGTATTGTTTAGAGAGAAACAAAATTAGTGGACACTGAAAATATATCCAGAAATACATTAAAAGCTGTCCACCTGTTATGAAGGCATTAGTTAAATCTGGAAAATGCTATCTATGGTTTTAGGTGAGATGGTAGAGAAAAGCAGTCCTGGATTTGGGGTTATTGAGGTTTCTTGTCTAGGTGCTGAAGTGATCACCAGGAACCTCCAGCTTAGTGGTCTAGGGGAGGGGCGTGAACAAGGGACGGGGGTACTGGACACAGATGACTGCTGCTGCACATCTGTAGCTTCTCCCTGCGGAGCTGCTGAGTGGCAGGGGGAGGCGCTCCCGAGCAACCTCCTGACCTCGGGTCACTTGACCATGCTTGTTGTTTTGTGCTCTTCTGAAAATGCTTTTAAACTTTAGACAGTTTGTAACTAAGCATCGTATATTCTGTATTTAAAGAATAAGTGAAAATAAGTGCCACAAAAAAAAAAAACAAAACAAACTGGTAAACAAAAGAGTCTCTCATCTCACTGTGTGGTTGTAATTCATCACAGTGCCTTGAAATCACATAATTGAGAACTGAAAAGATTCTAAAATTTAGAGACTTTCCTGTAAAGTTTCACACATTCCAAAAATACCTAAAATGCCTATCTTTGTAATTTGTAATTTTATCTGGCTTTGAAGTGTATGTCATATAAATGCCCATATTCATTCTCAAGGTATTATGTAAGTTGCTGCTTTTGCTCAATGTTACGAATTTGATACCCATCTCCTCTTGATTTGTTTAGCTATATTTCACTATGCAAATATACAAGTTACCAATTCCACAGTTAATAGTTACTTACATGTTCTTGCTAGTTTTTTGCTATTTTCACAAGCTGGTATTTCATTAATGGTATTTCATTATAGCTTTAATTTGTATTTCTCTGATAACATTTTGGTGAGTATGTGTTTGCAATACATGAAATTTATTTTAGAGGATTGGCACAGATTTTTATAACATTTTTATATGCTTGTCCAACTTTTTTTAAAAAAATTATTTTCAAAGTTAATTTTTTAAGACTTTATCCTGTAGATCTTATACTAAAAATACATTTTTTAAAAAAAGACTTTTTTTTACTAGTTTCCCTTTTTACAAAAATATTTTTACATCTTTTTAATTTTAATTTAATTTTTATTTTTTGGTGGTACCAGGGATCGAACTCAGGACCTAGCATTTGCCAGGCAAGCACTTATTCCACTGAGCTATCTCCCTAGCCCCTTTACTAGTTTTCCTATGAAGTTCTTTAGTTAGAAAATTTTTTTTAGGGTTTTTTTTTTTTTTTTTTGGTGCAGGGTCTCACACAGCTCAGGCTCGTAGTGATCCTCCTGATTTGTGCCTCCCTAGTGCTGGGATTACAGGTGTGTGCTACCACACCCAGACTCCATCACCAGCTCAGCACACCTGAGGCCGGGGCTGGCATGGCATGTGGTGTCAGGGAAAGTTAGACATTATTAATGTATGTTGTATACTGAATTTATTGGTTACTTTTATTACAATTTTCTTGCCCCCAATTTAGTGATTTCTCTGTTTCACTCTCAAGTTTATCATATTTTTACTGTTATCTTGTGTCCTTGTTTAAGAAATCTTTTACTGTATAAAAGACACACAGTGTGTTGTCTTATAAATGTTTGATAACCTCACTTTGTAACTTTCTAGCCTTTTGTGCTCATTTTATTTCCATTATGAATGTTAAGGCTTTAGTGTCTCCACTTTTTTGATGTGGATGACCATATCCTGGCATTGTTCTGGGTCAGTCCTTTTCCCCATCAACCATGTCTGTTCTGTTCTAAATCAGGCTTCCACTTTTTTTTTTTAAAGACAAATTAAGTATTCTAATTGTTTTTAGCTTCTGTTTGCTATCTGTATACCGTTGAGATGCTGTCTTCAGAAGTTGCCGTATAGAGCCAGGATGTGGCTTAGTGGGGACGTGTTGTCTGCTGTCTTGTGGAGTGCCCTGTGTTCCATGCCCAGCACTGTGGAACAAATACCCGCAGGTCCCATCTTCTGGGGCATTTCATTGAGAGCTTAGCTCTTCTTGCGACCTTTTAAGTTTCTGGTATAAACTTTACAGTCAGCTTGCAGAGGATGAAAAATCCTTTTTTTTCTTTTTAAGATTTATTTATTTATTTATTTGGTACAGAGTCTCGTTACATAGCTTAGACTCATAGTAATCTTGTCTCAGTGCTGGAATCACAGGCATGTGTCACCTTGCCTAGTTTTGGTGGCTGGCATGGCATGTAGTTCCAGGGATTGAATGAGAGTAGTTGTGCTTGCCAGGCAGGCTCCTAGACCGCTGGGCTATCTTCCCCAGGCCTCTTTAATATTATTCTATCAATTTTATATTCTCCATAAAACACCTTCAGAATATGCCTAAAATATAATCATGGTGCTCTTAATGTTACTGATATAAGAGAACTTTTAAAAATATTTACAAACTTAAAAATGCAGATGTCTTGCAACCTTGTTAAAATGCCTTTTAAAATCAATTTTGTATAATTATCAAGTTTCTGCATATATTATCTACAAATGATTTTTTCCAATCTGTATTTTTCATTAATCAGGTTAGCATGTTCTAATTTGCTGAGTTTTATCATAAATGAACATTGAATTTTGTGGATGATTTTTCCACATCTACTGAGATTTTGTGCTTTTTCTGTAAATGTACTGATGTGATTGGTTACATTAATAATTTTTCTGACTGACACAGACTTACTCTTTGAACAGTTGCCTTTGTTGGGGTGCATAACCCATTACTGCTGGGTTTTGATGTGCTGTGCTGTGCAACGTGTTAGTGAACGCACACAGCCTAGAAATTGTTCTCTGCAACTGTCTTGGTCTGCTTTTGCTACGGTGCTTGTGCTGGCTTGATAAAGAGACCAGTGAAATATACCTGATTGTTTTCTTTATTTGGGAATAGTAAAATTGGTAGAATTTAGTTAATGATGTTACTAGACTTGGTGTTTTCACTATAGGAAGATTATTAATAACTGATTAAACTTTTTTCTTGGTCTGTGGTTATTCGATTTTCTTTCACCGAAAAGAAAGCTTTGGTAAATGGACTTTCTAGGAATTATTCATTTTACTTGTTCAAACTTAGTGCTATAAAATTGTTTATAATGTTCTTTAATTTTCTAATTCATGTAGTGACTATTTAGGCTCCATTTTTATTTCTAATATTTGCCTTTTAAAAATTTTTGCCGTAAGTTTATTATTTGAATTTTAATCTTAATGTATCTTTTGAAAGAACCAGTTTTTAGATTCATTGATCTTTTCAGTACTTTTAATTCCCAATAATTTTACTCTTATGATTTTTTTCTTTAACTTTTTAATGATTTTTAAAAGAAAATAACAAAAATTGAATTTAATATGATTTGTTTTTGGAGCCTGTGTCATTTTATTGTTTTTATAATATTTTAATATTTACATTTGACTTTATTAGCAATATATTCTTCTGCTAAATGTAATCGATGACCTTTAACATTGAAACAAGTGTTAAAAGCATAGTATATCCACATGCATTTTATCAGAAATCCCTAAATCAAAGAAATGTAACCCATTTAGGCACGCGGAATAAAAGATGCTACAGAAATCATCTTTGAGATGTCAAAAGACGAAAGAAAAGATTTCTACAGGACTATAGCATGGGGTCTGAACCGGCCTTTGTTTGCAGTTTATAGAAGAGTGCTTCGCATGTATGATGACAGAAACCATGTGGGAAAGTATGAAAGCTTGTAATGCTGCATGTTTTCATTCCTTAGGGAAATAGTTAACAGAACTGTCATGTTTTCAAGTACAGGTCTAATTAAGCCTAACTGGAGACAGCTTAAGAGTTACTATTGTTATGCTTACACTCTAGGTCTGGGTTGAGAATATGATGAACCCTTATTATAATAAGGCCTCATTTAGAAATTAGTCTGAATCACCTCTCTAGGTTAAATGGCAGACTGGTACACTTAATATGCCAAAGTCTGCTCCAAAGTAGAGAACAAGTAGTTAAATATGTAGGAGTGTTAAAAAGAACTCTGACTTCATTGGTAGTATTTTTCTTACTTTACAAGTGTAGCATTACTAATCAGTGATTTTTTTTGTTTGTTTGTTTTTTAAATAAAACCAGAGCAAATACATTTCTAGAAGCAGAGTTTAGAGTTCCATCATATGTAGTGTTTATGCACAGGCATCATTAAGCTTCAATGTAGTGCTTAGTTTGTGAAACTGACACTTTGTCTCTCTGGGAACCTTAGATGACAGCAGTATCTCTTTTAAATTCTACAGCTTTCCTTGTAGCTTTCAGCAGCCTGCTAATGAGAGTGCATCTCAGAGTTGAAGTGATTTAAATATGTCTTACCACAGTGGCAAAGGAACAGGGATGACCTGTTAGCTTTTCATAAACCTTCCATGTACCATCAAGCGCTTAACAAGAGAACAGTACCTACAGCCCTGTAGTTCTGTCCTGCACAGAAAGCTGAAGCAGAATCGCAAATTTCAGGCCAGCTAGAGCTCAGAAGGGAGACCTGCGCTCAAAAAAATGAACAGCTGTTCCTAATTTTAAATAACAGTTTGACAAAACATTTCATTGGCTGCATTGAACTAATGGGCAACAGTATATCAGATGTACATGCCTGGCTACAGGAAATGAAAAGAATTTTAATGTTTTCATTGCCCTAAGAGAATTTTCCATAAATTTTTCTTTTTAGCTACATTTTATTAAAAAAAAAAAATGGATTAATTATAATTTCAGAGTGCCGAAACCTAACTTTGAAGTAAAGAGGCAGCACTGGAACAGATAAATGCTTTAAATGTTAAGTGTTCCTAAGCAGAATTGTATAGTGCTTAATTTTACGATAACTAAAAGTAGTTGCTATTTTTAATTAAGAAAATGGAAGCATTTAACTTTTAGTGTTTCACTTAAAATGGGTTACTTTATGCGGACTTACTAACATTTAGCACCCTAAATGAAACCCTCATTTTTATTAAGGTTTTTACCATTCCTTATTTTAACTGATTTTAAAAAAAAACTTTCTCTGAATTTCTAGATATACACCTGAAGAAATTGAGAAGCTGAAGGAGTAAGTTTTAAATTTTGTTTTCATTCTTTCTGTTGTTTGCTTTTTGTTTTTAAACATTTTTAACTTGAAGACTTGAGATTTTTGGCGGACAGCAATAATTTAGCTCTGCCAGTAAGCTTGGTTATCAGATCTAGACCTGCACAGAGTAGCTGTGTCCCTAGAACCCAGATCTTGCCTTCTGCTGTTGCTCTCTGATTGTGTCCTCTGGCCATTAATAGAGGTGCCAGAGATTAGATGCTGATTTTGGTTGCACTGACAATTGAATCTGTGGTGTTTGTATACCAAGATCAAAACCAGGGGCCCTGATGTAAAGTGGTGACTTGGGGTTGACTTCAGATTATTCCACCTTGGTAGGGCTGCTCGTCTCAAGAAACACAGTTTTGCTCCACCAAGGTGGGGTTATAAAGGATGGTTTAATGTGTGATGTGGGCCATGAGAGAAGATAGAGAAGGGCTCCTGTTGGTGACACAGGGCTCTGGGCATTTTGCAGGGTGTGAGGAAGAGCTGTTAGGAGTCTGCTCAAAGGGAAGCACAGGGCTCGCCTGGGAAATGGTGTCATAATCTGAGGAAAATTTGGTCTTTTTGAACACATATCCAAGTTACTTATTTCTTCTCTGACCCAGGAAAAGGGCAATTGCTGCCTGTTTTTTTTTTTTTTTCACCCACAGACAACTGTGGACCCCAATAAAAGGCCACACTTTCAAACTTTGGCTCTCAAAGTATTGCTGCCCACAACTTCCAAACCAAGTGGGAAGAAGAAGAATGAAGAATAAATGATGAAATTGAGAGGGAGAAAACAGTTGAACCAAATGCTGATTGGCAGACTCTTGTTCTAGGCTCCGGATAAAGCATGGCAACGACTGGGCCACAATAGGGGCGGCGCTCGGGAGAAGCGCGTCTTCCGTCAAAGACCGGTGCCGGCTGATGAAGGACACTTGCAACACAGGTACTGCGTACGCCAGGTGCTGTGTGCACCTTGGCGCTATGCCACCTGCCCAAGTCCTGGCCCACAAAGAGAACAGAACTGTGTGCGCTGCAGTTCACATGTTGTCACCCACTGTGCCTTTTTCAGCTTAATATTTGGGTCCAGCTAACATCTGTGTTGTGTTTTTATGTGCAAGGACATTGTTCACACAACAGAGTCTCTGGTTTCAAAGGCCCAAGGTGTAGCATGATTCAGTTTTGTAGCAACCACAACTGTCCCAGTTAAGAAAGTAATTAGGAGTTATATAAATGGGAAATAATTTTAATTTAGACTCATCTCACTAAACTTACACTAATAACAGTTTATCAGCTCATATCTGTGAGAAACTTGAATGATAGGCAGGTCCAAATTAGGAAAAATCTATGTTCCAAAGGTTTGTATGTTTTTGCTTATCTCAAACTTGAAGTATGTTTTTCCATCTTAAAAAACACGTAATTATTGGTACAGTAAGTCCTCAATTTATGAAAAAGTTTCATTCTGGAAGAATTGGTGGTAAGCCAACAATGACTCTTACACATACACCTGTGAAAGTTGGCAACTCGAATACTAAGTGGGGACTTAATATATCTCAGTCTCCAGGCCAGACTGCAGATGTATATTAATACATAAACGCACTGGGGATGGCATTCGTCAAGCCTCTGTGACAGCAGCAGTTTTTCTGGATGCTACCATTATCACTTAACCTTGTATCCTCTGTAATACAGGTTATGATAGATGCTCAGTTTCCCTTCACCCTGCTCTTCTCTGAAGGGTTCACAGCATGTACTCACTCCCAAGAGCAGGTGTCCTAAGGTGTGATTTTGTATCCCTGCCCCACTGAAGTAAAGTTAAGACTGCTCTCCCCTTACCTCCTCCAACACTGCCATCTCCACAAGGCCTGAGAGTACCAGTGTCCCAGCTCTGTCGCTCTTTATGGCTGGCCTAGTCTGCAAACCAGGGATGGGCAGTCGTGCATTCCAGCACGTGTGTACTGTGAGTGCAGAGCTCTTGTCAGCATGACTCAGAGGAGCCTATCCCACTCCCTGGTTTTGGTTTTCTTTGGCGTTCTGTGACAGAATTTTTTGGTTTCTTTCTGAAGAAACACCACCTCAGAATTGATCCTTTCATAGTATGCTCGACAGGAGAGCAGAGTTTGTCTATCCACAGTGTGCAGAACTGTGCCAGCATATAACGCACTTTCAGTGAATACTTGTTCAGTGAAGCAGGAATGTAACCTTTTTGACATTTTGGGGGTTTGATTTATAATAACTAAATTTAAACCAGAAGGAAGTTTTCAAACAAATTTTTCAGTTCAGGTACAGTTTTGTTTTGTTTTTTCCCCATAATTTTATTGATAAACAAATAGCAGTGAGACAGTTTCAAATTAAATTGGTAGGACAGTTTCAATAATCAACACATTGTATACATTCTTCCCAGTGGTTAATTGCTGTACAAGATGCGGACATGATATCCTATTTACAAACACCATCAGAACAAATCATTCTATTCATTAAGAGAATGTAACTATATATCTATCCTAACCACTTTGAATACACAGATACAAAATGGACATTCATCTGTATACCCTTTTTTTGTTAAGTTCCGTTATTTGAATATTATAGGTGTGTAAACTCAGCAAAATATTCTAAGAGTCTAGTAGCCCATAGTAGCATTGGGTCTTCCGCTTCACTGGCAATGTCAGAAATTGTTGACCTGAGTCCCCTGCAGCTCAACATAACAGCATGGCTTTACTTCTTATATTTCGTTTTTATACTTTTCTGCTGAATGGTTAAGACCAAGATAAAGCAGGACCTATGCAACAGGAGTTGTAGCTTTTGGGTCTGATAAGGTCAGTGAAATCCCCTCAGGATTTATCCTGAGATCCTGTACCTCAGATTGTAGAACCTTTGTCAGTGTCAGCCATGTGGATGAGTCACGGCCATTGCTTGGCCAATGTGCTCTCTGTGAAAGCCCGAGAGAATGTTTTCTCTCCATGTGACTCTCCTTAGGCACACTCTACATCATCGATCACTTTCCTCTTTGACTCCATAATCTTGATCAGAAAATTTGGGATACTACTGAGTTACATGATGTTACAGTATAAGTTCTCATATGTCCTGAGTCTTAATTGACCTTAGAAGGCTAGGGCCAAAATGTTGGCTTTTCTTGCAGCCCTCCTTTTTCTCTAATTTTGGTCTGCAAACTTAGGTTGTTAACCATCCAGAAGACAAGCTTGTTGTTATTACCATACAACTTAGGCTGTTAAGCTTAATCTCACTATCTGTCTGTATATCAAACATCTTAGGCATAATATGGAACAGGTATTTTTCATCAAGTATTGATATGTTGAACTTTAAGTCCCTACAGAATATAATAAAAAACATTTAAAGATTAGAATATATTTTAAAAATAGGCGTAAAGAATTATATATTTCTTATGTTTACACATAAGTCCAAAAATTTCACCATATACAACCTTGAAGCAGGACAGTCCCACAATATTCCTTTTCCTGTCTCTTGCTAGGTACAGTTTTTTTAAACGATCAAGAATAAGTTTAACAGGAGGAGGAATAAAAACATACTTAAATACTAACATTAGACACCATACCATTTGTTCACGGTGTCTAGAATTGGGGTAGTGGGAAGAGAAGGTATTCTCACCTAACTTTCACTAAAAGGTGGACATCGTTAGGCATCACCCCCTCACCCTCTTTGCTCCTTCCTGTGAGTGAGGAAAGGCTCTCTGAATGCATCATTTCTGCAAGGTAAGGAATCTCCATATCCCCGAAGCCATCAGTGAAACTCCACGTTGTGTCCATGGAGCTCTCAGTGTGACTTGAGAACTGTTGTTCTTTGTAGTTATGTTTTGTACAGAGGCCTCAGCAGATAGTAAGATGTTGTTGCCTTAGTAGATATACACAGTCCCCAGTACTGGACCACTTGAATTAAGCTGTAATAAGCTGTATGTGGCAATGGGTTTCACTGTACTCCCTACAGGCCAAGCCAGGTCTGTGGGAGAGAGGGCTGGGAGGCATCTGGCCAATCTCCTTCTTTCAGGGAAGTGGACAGAAGAGGAGGAAAAGAGGCTTGCGGAGGTGGTTCATGAGCTGACGAGCACTGAGCCTGGTGACACTGTCACGCAGGGTGTGTCCTGGGCTGCAGTAGCAGAGCGGGTGGGTACCCGCTCAGAGAAGCAGTGTCGTTCTAAGTGGCTCAATTACCTGAACTGGAAGCAGAGTGGGGGCACGGAGTGGACCAAAGAAGATGAGATCAACCTTATCCTCAGGTGTGTGCTGAGCTCTCTGAGCTGCCTGCTCCTGCATGTGTGGTTGCCAGTCCTCTGGGTGTCCTGGACCTGTTTTTTTTTTTTCTTTCAGTAGAGAGCCTCTGTGCTAGACCCTTGGTATTTTACCTTGAGCTCTTTCTGTTTTGTGTTTGTTCCTTTTTAGTGGATTTAGTGCCCAGGCAAAGTCCAGACTGAAGGCGTAGAGGCTGAAGGCCTGTGTGTCCAGAGGTCAGGCATGGCAGTGGCAGTAGCAGTTTAATGTCCACTGCCAGTAGGTGCCTCACCTCACTTCACCACATGGCTGTGTCAGGGAGAGGGCTGTCAGTCTCCATGCCCATAAGTTCTCAGCTGCTGTGCGAAGCTTGCTCTGAGAGACCATCTGCACCCTGGATGAGGCCAAATGCCCTCTTTGTACTCATTCAGGAAGGGCCAGGAATTTTAAAAATTGATGGTTTTAACATTAAGACTCAGCAGCCCAAATAAGCCAAAAAATACCACCAAGAAGCCACTTAGGACAGTGAAGTAAGAGACTTGTCATTGCCTCCCAGCTGAAAACCAAAGCCATCACAACTAAAGCTAGAAATTGAATGATTTAAAACCTCAAAGTTAGTTGTACTATTACTGGTTGTTTTTTGGTTGGTGCTGTTTTATCACTTTGTTTTGAATTTTGCCTTTTTTTTTTTTTAATTTTGCTCTTAATAGAACTTTTTATCCCACTAATCATCTTTATAAGTGGTGCATTGCTAAGCATTTTTGTTTCACAAATGGAAAAGCTCAGATCCAAAGATAACTGACTTAGTAAAAGCCACTCACTCCAAGAAACTCTTTGGAACACTGTGCAGCTTCACCTTCCTTCCCAGTGCTTCGTCTACTTTTTGATCACTTACAGTTTGGCCCACTGGTTATACTTTTAACCAAAGACTGTGCTGACTGGATTTCTTAGCTGCTGGTTCGGAACATGACTTGTGTATATGGAGTCCTTTCCCCATGCCAGTGGACATCAGCCTGTGGTCTTTACCTGCCATGCCCTTTATCAGTGCTGCTGTCATTTAGGCAGAGGAGGGCTCTCATGGAGAACCAAGTGCACCATGTAACATGTGCTTGTTTTGAACCTATAGGGTAGCAGAGCTTGATGTAGCTGATGAAAATGACATAAACTGGGATCTGTTAGCTGAGGGATGGAGCAGCGTCCGTTCACCACAGTGGCTTCGAAGTAAATGGTGGACCATCAAAAGGCAGATTGCAAACCATAAAGATGTTTCATTCCCTGGTAATGTATTACTTCAGGTCCTTCCCTTGGTTACCATGTTTACACCTGAGGAGTTACAGTTCTGTGCCTCAAGAAGTGTCAAAGCCAGTTTCCGCTATTTCTGTTCTATTTTTTGTATATTTTTTTTCTTCTTTAGAGAAGAGTTAATATAATTTTTAATTCCCAAAACCTAAAAACAGATATTGTCACACATTCTTGTTCTTCTACATGAAGTATGGAGAGGAAATAAATTTTGTTTCAATTTTGTATTAAGATTTATTTTTCAAAATTTAAATTTCAACTTAGTAAGTTGTATGTATACTTACAAACGTCTTAACCGGCCTTGGTGGGGGAAATGTGTGATGAACTTCTTTTGTGGCATAAAGGCTTTTAAATTTCATTTCATTAACTATGTAAATCTAAGGATCTGAAATTGAATTTGCTTGAAGTGAAACAGCATACTTTGCATTCCATTGCCTGTTTCACAGGTACTAAACCAAGTTGAATAATCAGTTTAGTTTAGGTTATTAAATTAATTACCCTTAATATATAACTTCTGTTTTTATTTTTCCAAAGAAAAATTAAATGCTAAAGAATTTCACTTAATGAAAATGTGAATTACCAAAATTGAACCAAGAAGACATAAAAATTCTGAACACTCCAATAACATGCAATGAAATTGCAGTAATAAAATTGTCAATTAAGAACAGCCTGGGACGAGATGGTCCTGGATTCAGTGCTGAATTTAGAAGACCTCCAAGGAGATAACGCTAATATTTTTCAAATTCTTTAATGTAATTGAAAGGGAAGGAGTTCTCCCAAACCTCATACCTGAAAGCCAGTATCATGCTGATCCCAAAACTAGATAAAGGGCATGGAGAAAACTGAAAAAGAAAATTGTAGACCAGTTTCCTTAATGAGCCTAGATTGATAAGTCCTCAGTAACATGTTAGCAAGTAGAATGTAATCAATCACCAACAGGATGCTTCATCCAAGTAGGGTGCATCGTAGGATGCAAGGATGGTTTAGTATGTGCAAATCAATGAGTATAATGAATGAATCACAAAAAAACAGAATCAGGGTCAGAAACCACATGATCCTGTCTATAGATTGAGCAAAAAGCTTTTGACAAAATCCAGCATGCACTTAAGATAAAAGCCCTAAGGAACAGAAAGGCCTTGTAAAAAGCCATTTATGACAAACTGGGAGCTGCTGAGTGGGAAAAAGCTGAAACCGTCCCTCTGAAATCAAGAAAAAGACATGGATGCCCACTGTTACCACTCATGTTCAACACATGAAAATCAAACTAGAGCAGTCAAGCAAGAGAGAAAAAAAAAAGATATGTGTAGGAAAGGTAGAAGTTAGGTTATTATTTGTAAATGATGTGATTGTTTTCATAGAAGACCTCCTAAAAAAAAAAACCTCCTGTAGCAAATTCTGTAGCATAGTGGGCTACAAAGGCAACACAAAAAAGTCAGTAGTGTTCCTATCCACCAATTACAACTCACCAAGAAATAATTTAGGAAAACAGTTTTATTCACAATAGCATCAAGAAAAATAAATATTTGGAAATAGCCTAATTAAGGATGTGAGATGCCTTTACCACAAAAACTCTAGTACTGTAGAAAAAGAAATCACAGAGGACATCAGGAAATAGGTATCTCATGTTCCTGGAGAGACAGAACCAATATTGTCAGAGTGGCCAAACCTCCTAAACTTATCCACAGATTTAATGCAGACCCAATCAAAATACCAATAGCATTCCTCACAAAGCTAGAGAAAATAATCCTAAAATTCATATGGAAAAGAAAAAATTCCAGAATGGTAGGAACAATTGTGGGCAACAAAAACAAAGCAGAAGACATCACAGGACCTCACTTCAAGTAATACTACAAAGCTCTGGTGATAAAAGCAGCAGGGTTGGCACAACAGCTGACTTGTGGATCAGGAGACCAGAATAGAGAATGCAAAGACAACTGTGGACATGTTCAGCCTCTTGATCTCTGACAGAGACCAGAAACATGCTGGAGGGAAGACAGCCTCTACAGCAAGCGGTGCTGGAAGAACATGCAAGATTGAAGCTAGACTTGGGGCTCTTACTCTGCAGTAGTCTAAAATCCAAATGGGGGCCGGGGAGATGGCTCAGTAGGATATGTGCTTCCCTGGCAAGAGCAAAGACCTGAGTTCAATCCCCAGTTCCGCAAAAAATTAAATAAAATAAATAAAATCCAAATGGTCCAGAGATCTAAATACTAAAGCAGAATCACTTAACGAGCTGGAAGATAAAATAGGTAAAACTTTTGACATCGTAGGTATAGACAAAGATGTTCTGAACAGAACTGTGAAAAATAATAGCAAGAATCAACAAGTGGGGTTATGTCAAATTTCCTTTGCACAGCAAAGGAAATAACCAGCAAAGTAAAGAGACAGCCTACAAAATGGGAACAGAAACTTGCCTGTGTGCTTCAGTGACTCAGGTGGAAGATCCCTTGAGCCCATGAGTTTGAGACAAGCCTGGGCAGCACAGCAAGGCCCCAGCCCTCCTAGAAAATACAAAGTTGTGATGGATAATGTTGCTCAGCTTTCAGGTCAGGTTGTAGTTTTAATAATTTTACTGTCATTTCGATAAATTCTTATATCCAGTGTGCAATTACTATTCCCAGTACTTCTCCCTACCCTACCCTTCACTTCCCTGTTGCCTTGACAGTGGTGCCAGAGAGTCAGTGTTCTTTTTGTCTCCCCATCTCCCTGCAGTCTTAATAAAAGGTCTGAAACAGTTACATGAGAACCAAAAAAACAACCCAGCGCTGCTGGAGAATAAGTCAGGACCTGGAGTTGCCAACAGTAATTCCAGTTCCAGTGTTCAGCATGTTCAGATCCGAGTGGCCCGCTTGGAAGAGAACACAGCCGTCCCCCCCAGCCCCATGGCCGCGTTGCAGATCCCAGTCCAGATCACCCATGTCTGTAAGTGTGGGGCTCGGGTGATGGCTGTGACCCCAGTCCACCTGCTAAAGTGGAGAAGGAAAGTACATCCAAGGCCTTTTAGAAAGTTCACCTCGTACTTGCAAAGAGCAAATGTGTGGTAGGAAGGACTTAACAACCCTGGCGCTGTAAACCATTCTGAAACAGCTTTCCTGATTTTACAGTTAAGGACGGAGTAAAAATGAATCGTTCAAATAGAAGTTAAGATTAATGATTAGTTGAAAATAGTCCATTGAGAAGAACAACTCAAGGTGGCATAGTGCTTCATAAATTTCACCAGAAAACACAAAGATTGGGGGGACCTGGGGTAGGCACAGTCAGGCCCCGACCTGGGAACATTCAAGTTGCAAACCTTCACACTTTGTATATACTATATAAAATTCACTTTGGCAGCTTACGAACACATGTGACTTATGGACAGTTCTCCCAGAACAGAAACTGTTCATGAGTTGGGGACATAATGTTTATAGAAACAGGCTTTGGCAAGATTGGAAAAGATTTTCTTCAGGGAGCAAGGAGCCAGTTTCCTACAGAGAAATGTTTCTATATCCAGGATCTCTGTTGGTCTTAGCCTCTGACACTTTTGCTTTTTATAAGCTTATGGGAACCTGGAAGTTATGAGGGAGGGTAACATTTCTTTACGTGGACCTTTTCCCATCATCCTTGATGGCAGTGACAGAAAGGGGATGAGAGCAACATTCTGAGAGCCAGTGTCAGTCGGCTTGAGTGCTCTGCTGGTCAGTCACTGTTGTCCACAGCCAGGTGCTTTCTGACATTCTGAGCCAGGCCAGTCCTCATAAAATTGCCTTTCACGGGGCAGGTTGCTCTCAGGGTCCCTTGACCTCACCCACAGAACATCCATGCTGTTCCTAATGGTTATAACACCTACTTCCCAGCATCCCTAGGCCACCCTATGTCAGCATATACAGCGACCTCAGTTACGTAGGGAGATCTGGATGGAGTTGAGTGGGAGATAGCACCCAAAAAATATATTGATAGAAAATGACCTTAGGGAAAAAAAGAAGCATGATCTTGGAGACATTTAAACTAATAATCGTCCTAGTTTGAATTTGGTTATTTGCTTTATCCACTTTCCAGTATAATAAAGCGTAAAGACTTTGCTTTTGGCCCTCCTTTTTTTCCCCCTAAATACTTAAGAATAGCCATAAGCTGATTGTGTGTGCAGACCTTTTAGTTTGCTAGGGCTCATAGTTGTTGGGAAGGCAGCAAACATAACTGGTACCTTAATATTCATAGCATCATTTTAAAATGGATGAATGTGCAAAATAAATTATTTCTCCCAGCAAAATACTTGACAGAATTCTATAATCACATTTCTAGTATTCTAACTAAAATCTTACTTCTTTTTTTGGGTTAGGGACAGTGCTGCATGAATTTTGACCTGTGACTGAAAGCACCCAGAGGTCACACATGTTCTTTTCGCAGCCCTGCAGAACGGTGGGCAGGTAGTGGTCAGCCTGCACCTTGGCAGACACCTCTGGAGTGCACTGTTTGTCCAACCCCTGTGCATGGACTTCTGAAGTTGCCGCATCTCACATTGTTTCCATAGCGCAATGTGAGAGAGGCAGGATGGTTGTGGTCTGAGCCCTAGTTGGCCCAGGTGTTCCTTTTCAGGAAGCATTGTCACAAGAGGAAGTCCCTGGCCTACTGTCATGCACCAGCACTCCAGACATCTGTGTTGCTTACCAAAGTGTCAAGAAAAATGTTTTTCCATTTTCCTTTTTTTCCAAGTTAGCTTCTTTTTCCTCTTAATAATTAGAAATGCTTTGTATACCTAGTACAAGTTGGTAAACCTTTTCTGTAAAGGTCTAGTAACATCTTAGACTTTATGAGCTTTGTGGTGTCATAAATCTTAAGTCCAGAGTGTGAAAGCAATCACAGGAAAAAATATGAATGGACATGGTTGTGTTCCAGTAAAACTGGCAGGAATGAAACTGGTCAGCTTTGGCCAATGTTGTATGTTCTTCTCTATAATCTACATGCTGTCCATCCCAGATAAATCCACTAGATTTCTTTTAGGAAATTTCAGTGACTTCAGGCTTGCATGCAGATTATCCAGTATAAAATTGCCTTCCCAGCAGCTCAGGACACTGGAGAAGCTCCACCACCTTTTATTACTGTCCTTGTTCTTACTGCAGCTTCAGCAGAGGCCCCTGCTGCTCCTGTTGACTCAGAAACACTAACCCTAAACAGCGGAACACTACAGGCATTTGAGATTCTTCCAGTGAGTACTGCTTCCTATAGATTGTGGTCATTTTTATGCATAAAGTCAGTTGGTATAATTTTTTTTTATCATATAAGCAGATGAAAAATTTCAGACAGACATAAATCAGACTTACACTTTTATTATCTGTTCTTCATGTGTTAAAACAGCAGGACTGACAGCATGCATGAGTGGGTTTGTGCTGAGTCTGAGCTAGCACTGTTATCAGAGGTTTATAGAGTGTCCATCATGCGCTGCTCAGCAACACTGACACAGGAACACTTTCAGGCACTGGGAACACAGCTGTGGTCTCAGCCTGGAGGATCGCCACTTTAGGATAAAGTCTTGTAATGTCTCAAAAGTGTAAACAGTTACTAAACAATCCACCATCACAAATCCCAGATATGTCTTGAGAGAAAAAGGAAAAACTCAGGGAGCTGAATATGAAGATGGGTCTTTGGAGGTTCCACTGTGGTCACGTAGTGGGGTGGCCGTGGTAGCTGTGGCCACAGCCTTGACTGAGCCACAGCACCTGGGCTTATCTCTATACAGTTCACCTTAGTCAAGGAGCACCTGTGCACATTTCCTACTTACCTGAAATGACTAGGGGAGGATAGTAGTATCTCAGCTTCAATACTTGAAATTTAAACATTTAAATGTACAGATAGGTGCCGGAGAGATAGCTCAGTGGTCTAAGTGCCTGCCTGGCAAGCGCAAAGACCCGAGTTTGATCCCTGGTTAGTACCAGTACCACCTGCCATGCTGGGCTCACCCCAGGACTGCCAAGCAGGCCCCCGAAACCAGGCAGGGTGGCACATGCCTGTAATCCCAGTGCTAGGGAGGCTGAAACAGGATAGCTACATAAATTTAAAAAACACAAATGTACTCATAAAACACACCTGTGATATTCATAGTGCATGTACAGTTTGCAGAAATGCCTTATGCTTGTAATTAGTTGGCATATAGTCTTGAGGATGACTGGCTTTCACTTCCATGGAAAGGCCAGAGAAATTGAGTCCTGACTGATAAAGCTCTTTCATATCGCTAACACTGCAAGCCTTTCTGCGGGAGGGGACGACTGCCTCCATAGAAGAAATAAGGAAGTCTTTGTTCAAGGATTCAGTGTACAGATTTCATAGGAGATGGAAGCCATATTTTCTCTCAGTTGCTGGGGTGAAACTTGTAGTATAAAAGTTTATTAGAGAATAGTTTTATCATGCTTTCGTCTCAGAAGGTAAATACAAGTGAATCATCTTTTCAGATAAGCATCTTCCTTCAGCAGAGCATTGCTAATTGCTATTGATAAATTTTCCCCTAATACAAAAAGTATTTACTGAAATTACATCATTAAAAGATGCATTCAAGTGAGTGAACACTGCTGCTGTGCCTCTTCTAAAACATAGTTTCCTTTTTCGAATTTGAACGATGGCCAGTCCTGCCATGCAGAGACAGGATCTTGGCATGTCACTTGGCTGCACATGTGTGGGTAATCCCCAAACAGACCACCAAGACCAGGCTGTGAGAAACAGACAGTGAAGGGGAGGACATGTACCTGTTGACCCACTCCCAGGCCAGCAGAAGCATGAGATGTAGTAGTAGGCAGTCCACCCTCATTACTCGTTTGTACATCAGGGCGGGGGAGTCCCATTTGTGGCCACCAGGTTGAAGTGGGTCTGTGTGCCAAAGCATGGGTGGCTCTAGCCGTTGTCTGTCACTTGGGTTGAAGCATGTGTCCTTTCCCTGCAGTCTTTCCATCTGCAGCCCACGGGCACACCTGGAACATACCTACTTCAGACGAGCTCAAGCCAAGGGCTTCCTCTGACTCTGGCTGCCAGCCCCACTGTAACCCTGACAGCTGCCGCTCCTGCTTCTCCTGAGCAGATCATCGTTCATGCTTTATCCGTATGTTGCACAATTCTTGGTTTCTGATTACCAGTTACAGTGTAGGATTAGCTGAACAAAATACACACACCGTCATGACAGTTGCACCACTTTCCTTCCTATACGGGGGTGTATCTCTAAACCCTTCTTTCTATGAGATGGACATAGAGGTGAGAATTTAGGAGAAAGAAATCTGGTGCTCCAGAACCATGATGCTTCAAGTGACGCAAACATTGTGGCTCCTGGGAGAGGGAGGGGCTAGAGTCTCCCCTGCAGAGGTTGTCTGTTGGATAACTTCAGCTCTAGTAGAACCTCCTGCTTTTGCCATTGACAGTTTCATTTGCTGCTTTACAGCCAGAACATCTGTTGAACACCAGTGACAATGTCACAGTGCAGTGCCACACTCCTAGAGTCATCATCCAGACTGTTGCTACGGAAGACCTCTCTTCTTCATTATCCCAGGCAGAGCTCTCAGTAGATGGTGACATGCAGTCTTCTGATTTTCCTGATGCACTGGAAGCAGACACTTTCCCAGATGAGATTCATCAGCCTAAGATGACACTAGTACCATCATATAATGATGCTCATGTGTCCAAATTCAGTGACCAAAATAGCACAGAACTGATGAACAGTGTTATGGTCAGAACAGAAGAAGAGATCTCGGACTCTGACCTTAAGCAAGAAGGGTCCCCCTCTGATTTGACCAGTGCTTATGTTACTGAGGTAAGTTGTACCCAGCAGAGCAGGCTGGAAGGGTCTTGGACATACTCCAAGCAGTTCTTTTCTGTGGGTGCCCAGCGCAGAGCTCCCATCTTAGCTGCTAGTGACACAGCCTAGTGTCACTGGCAGAAGTGGGTGATCAGGGATTTCTGGGCAGGGCAGTATGAAGCCGCTGTCATAGCACACCTCTTCACGCAACCTTCCCTCTCCAGCAGCAGCTTGACAGGTGTTCCTTGGAACCCACTCCCAAGTGTGGGGATCTGAGGGGTCTTAGGCTTCAGCTAGGGACTCTTTATGTTCATAGCCTTGCTGCCTCTGCATGCAGTTGACCTATACCTGGCTTTGTTCTTTTGAGTTATTTCTCTTCTTTTTTACATATTACTCAGGATTTAGAGTCTCCCACCATAGTAGAACAAGTTGATCAAACAACAATTGATGATGAAACAATACTTATCGTCCCTTCACCACATGGCTTTATCCAGGCGTCTGATGTTATAGATGCTGAATCTGTCTTGCCTTTGACAACACTAACAGGTACTGTAACACAACTTGTGTCATGTGATAAACATAATGGGAGATCCAGGCAGTTATTTCATTCAGTTGTTTTAGTCTTTTTTTTTTTAAATTTTTTTAAAATTTTTCCGTATTTTAAGGAAGGGGCTACAGGATATTCAGGGTCTCACTACTAGATCGGACTCAGATTCTCCTGTTTACAGCCTCCCAAGAGCTGGGCTTACAGGCACTCGCCACCATGCCCAGTCTCAGTTGCCATCTCAGTGCACCCTGGGGGCAGGCCCGGCACAGCAGGCCCGGAGATCGAATCCCTGGCCCCTGCGCCTGTTTGCAGGCACTGTAATTCACTGAGCTATTTAGCCAGCCCTGTTTTAGTCTTTTCTTGGTCCAACAATAGCCTTGTCAGTTAAATCTTAACCTTTGGTAGACTATTTAAATTCTTGGAATGGAATAGAGAAAATGTATGCGTGCACACGCACACACAGACACACGCACGACTAACCTGAAACCTCATTCTTGCAGATCCCATCCTGCAACACCAGGTAGAGTCACACATCATTGGATCCTCTTTGGGCAGTCCCGTTTCTGAAGACTCAAAGGATGTTGAGGACTTGGTGAACTGCCATTAGGTATTCTTAGATACAGGTAGTTCAGCGAAGAAGCCACACTGTTCATTACAGCGTCTCCAAAGAAGGAGCAGCCCCCAGGAGGCTCACTGTCATTTGCTGGCTTCTGATCAGCTGCTGTGCTTAGCTGTGTACCCTTTTGCTGCTACGACTTTTACCTCTGTTGTGTCCACCGAGTGAGGTTCTATGTACGACCTGTGTGACCAAGTGGAGTATGGATCCCATGGTTTGTGCTACTTGCAGAAGGGAATCTCATTCTCCACAGCTCCTGGCAAGTTCTCCGTGTCACCAAAGCTAACTTTATCTCTACAGATCAGACACGGCATTCTCCATCTGGAGCAGGCCGGGGTACATTTTAGGGACATCCTATCAGCACAGCCTAGAGCTTATCCTTGACCTTCAGAAAGATTACTTGACCAGTATACAGTGAGACCTAGGAGGAGACTGGTGGTTACTTCTGGTTAACCCACTGTTGGCAGGGGACACTGATGCGGCAGCGTGAAGAGGAGTGCACTGTAAAGCTCTGGGAACTCGCTCCAGGCCTTAAGGCTTCCACTGAGCATGTGGGCCCGAGGAGTAACAACCTACCAGCAGCTGAGCATCTTTGCCCCTTTAGTTTACAGACTTAGCACTTTGAAGTAACATTAGCTGTGCTTGCTTCGGCAGCACATGCACTGAAGGAACACTGAACCAAACGAAGAGAGCAGTAACGTTGCCTGTCCCTGATGCCAGGAACCTTTCTGACACATTTGCTGTATAAATTGCCTAGAACATGGATAAAGGGGTTGAGAGTTTCCCATTCACTCAGTGCATTTGCTGAGTGAATATAACTTCTCCTCTTGGGCAGTTCTAAAAAACAGAATTTGCTTCTGTAACAAAAGCAATCAAGAGTCATTCCTATTCTAGAGAAGGGTTAAGCCAAAACTAGCCTCTTAGGGCTTAAATGAATATGACTCCTATAGAAAAGTCACAAAAACTTGTATAAATTATTTTATTTATTACTGTAATTAGATCTTCACAATCAAAGTTGTCTTTTCACCGTCTGTTTTGTTAATGTGAAATTGTAGTTAAAAGCAAGTTGGTTGCCTAGGGAACAATTATTGTATATTCAGTTTAACAGAAATAAAGGACTATTTGTCTTAAAATGCAAGATTCTGAGTCTTTACCATGCAACTAAATTGTAAAAAAATTTAATTTCAAATGTGAAAGTTACTTGTGCTGTTTCAGTTGGCTTTAAGGGTTGGAATGATTAAGTGCAACATTGGCTTTTTAAAGAAAAAGCTAAGAGATCTGTGATGTGTTTCCCTGGCAAGAGGGAGCTCAGATTTGTAGTTCACAGGAAGTCTCGTGTTGGCCTTCTCTGGCAGATTGGTCCGTGTATCTGGCCCAGCAGTCTCCTGCCCTCACAGGTAGTTCTCAAGTGCCCTGGTCAGGGTCTCTTCTTGACAGCCTCACCTTCCCACGTCGTGGAAGTACAGGTTTGCACATATACACAGCATGGTGATTGAAAATAAGATATAGTAAATTAGACTTCTAAATTTCGGTTCTAAGTCTCCTTGTCGATACCAGTAGATCTAAAAGAAGAATCAAATTAAATTTTAAGTAATAGTCACTGGGCCAACTGTTAAAACACAACTAATTTTCATTAATTTTATCAGTATTTCTGCAGATGAGACAGTCTTATAAATCTTCATGCCTTCATTCAGCACAGCAGAATTTGATTATTCTTTGTATTCAAGTAGTACTGCCTCAGAGTCCTCATCCCAAGGTCCCACTTATTCCTACCTCTTCAGTTTATGTTCCTCTGTATTCTAACCAATTATTTGGCATGCAATCCGGGAACACATCAGGGTATTTAGGTAACACTTTCAGGTTCTTAGAAAGGAGGAGGGCACTTAAATTGTTTTCATAAATTCAGACTTTGGCAGTGCACAACAGAGCTTGCATAATCCTGTACATACTCGGATTTGAGCAGCTCAGTGGTGGTCACGCAAGCTTGGAGTAGGGGTAGTGGGAAGGCTTCCAGAGTGGCTTAGCCAGCTGTTCTCAGGTCATGGGAATGTAACACAACCAGTTCAATTGTAATATAAATGAATTAAATTACCACTGTGATTTAAGCCCTGTGTAATTCAAAACAATTGGTTTTAAGGATTTAGTATTTTGATGCTGTCTCCTGAAAGTCATAAAACCACTAACTATTCAATGACTCAACAATGGAGAGCCTCCACCATCTTTGTTTCTTCTCTAGTTTGGTAAGCGTTCTTGTGACCAGAGTACAACTGCCACTTTTAAGTTTCCCAGAAAATTTTGGTAAATTACCTCCACTTGAGGCAAGCACATAAAATAAATACATAGAGTGTTATCTTTTCTCTGAAGTGCTCTAGTCGAAACCTGTGCCTGCAGTTCTTGAATGAATGTAAGTAAAGTAGATTGCCTTTTTGGCTTCTTGAAAGTATTTTTGCCCTATCGCTTTTTAGCTATGAAAGAAACCAAATTCCCCTTTAAAGTTACAACTTACAGGACTTGGGGAAAAAGAAGGAAAATGATTCTGAAAAATACTATACAACTAATGAAGAATTGTGCTGGGAAGAGTGTGAGAGTCCCTTTCTGTAGTCCTAGGCACTCGAACATGGCTGGAATTCCAAGAGTACTCACAAGTATGCAGGCTGTAGCACTGCTCAGAGAGATGCAGACAGCAAAAAAAATATTCAGTGGTTTGGGAGGTAGGTGAGGGAACACAAAAGCACTGATCAGCGTTACCTGTATGGAGAGAAAAGGTGTCAGGCTGTAAAGAACTCCAGGGTGGTGTCTGCTTGAGTCCAGGCAAGACAATGCTACAAAGTGCTTCATATTATAAAGTCCTATCTACCCTAGGTTGCTTTCTGTGGCAGAGTATTTGCAAAGCATTTCTTTAGTACTTTCTTTTCTAGCCTTCCTCATGTATAGAAGACAAAATATTAGAGGTCACATAATGTCATTCCTAGGATTGATGACTACAGAAAGAAGGCTAACCATCCTATTTTGAATACTTGTACCAAAAATAAATGGAATCAAAGCTGGCTTTGCTTACTGAGTTTATGAAAAATACTGGCAGATGGGTTTGTAATACCCATCTCTGTTTCTATCATAGATACAGCATTATGCCCACTGTTTTATTAAGAAGTAATGGAGAGGCCAGGGAGATGGCTCAGTGGAATAAGTGCTTCCCTGGCAAGCGCAAGGGTCTGAGTTCAATCCCCGGTTCCGAAAAAAAAAAAAAAAAAGAAGAAGTAATGGAGAAAAAAACATTAAGATTCTTTCTCCTAACAAGTAGTAATGAAAATATTATCAGACTGGAAAATATAGCTATGTTTATATTGTGATAGGACTCAGCCATATAAGATAAAAAAAAATTACTGTACACTAATCAGATCTTTTAAAACTTGACCAAAGAGTAAGTGTAAAGTATTAACAGAAATGGGAAGTTATGGTGGGTAATAGCAGAAGTAGTGATGGTAACCACTTACAAATCTACTAGGGCAGGGAAACACGGCAAACTTAATTGACTTACACTATTTCACATATTTAGCTGGGAAATTGAAGCAGAGATCAAAATAGCTGCTTCAGTTGTCAAATGCAGTTTTGTAATATCAAAAACATGATTTTTTCTGAGGGCCAACTGCACTATAATAAAAATTCAAGCTACTTACTAGAATCAATAAGCATGTGAAGCTGCCAACAACCAGATTGACGATTCGGTCCTGAAAAAGAAGAGTGTGTGAGGCATGTGACTGGGGCTCCTGGCATCTCAGGGCATGTGGCACTGGGTGCTAGAGAATGCAGGGACCACGGCTTTCCTGACCACTGCATGCCACACTGCCCTCCTGAGCTCACACTCTAGACAGGTGCAGTGGAGTCAGCAACTGGGCCAATGAGGGAAGGTTTCTTGGAAGGACCAGCGATTTACACTAGGGTGATGAGGACTGGGATGGCCAGGCCAGAACTTCAGTAGAGATCATCAGACTGAACTGCATGACACTGAGAGCTGTAATGAGTTTGGGCCTACAGTAGGGACACAGTGCCCTTGTCTAATCTAAAGACACATACTACTCTGCAAAGGGACTACAACTGGGCATGGTGCACACCAGTAACCAGCACTCTGAAGACTGAGGTGGCAGCCTGTGCTATAGAAAAAGACGCTGTCTCAAAGAGGAAAAAAACCCACAAATGCCAAGGGTGAATGCAATCCCAAAGACCATGTAGTATAATCCAGTGATTCTTTTCTCTCAATTTAATAGAAGCCTTCAACTGAAAACATTTGATTGAAAAGCCTCTTCTACCTATCTTAATTTTCTCATTTTGAGCCCCTAACCCTAAGCAGCTTCACAGAATGTCTGAAAAGCTTTTGATCCAATCCTAATTTTACAGTTTAAGGTAAATTTAGGCCCAGTGTGGTTAAATCATTTGCCAAAAGCCAGATAGCAAGTTGAAAGAACTCTTAAAAGCATGGATTCCAAAAGTTCATAATTGGTTAACAAAAGCTAGTTACAAACGTACAAAATAAGGTAAATGTTTTAGAGACTAATGAAGGAAACACTAAGTTAAGGCCACTGAGAATACCAGTCTTATTTCTAAGAACTCAAAACTGACTCTGGTGAACCAGTAGTCTAGATTGTTTTAGTAACACCTTTGTTAGCAAAGAACCTGATATGGAATGTGAATAGTCAGTAAACAAAACTTCATGGGTGCGAGAGGTATGAAGCAAGGGAACCTTCATTTCCAAATTGTTTGCTTTTCAGATTAGAATCCAAAGATCGTGAGTACCACCGGCAAAGATGAATGAACAGGAAGGATATAGAAAAGCCAAGTATTCTGTGTGCCTGACATAGCCAAGAAAAAACAACTCTCCAGATGAAGCCACTGGAATTCAAAGATTGTGGGATTAATCAAATCTGAACTATACTGCATTACATTTAGAAGATTCAGTAGATCTTACTGTCACCCAACACAAGTCTGAAGTTAGGACTGTTTGTTAAGGACCCAAGGACAATTCTTCAAGTTCGTAAATTCACATACAAGACAAGTGGGGATAAATAGGAACGTGACAAAATATGCATAATGAGAATGTCCATAGGACCTCCCATTGATTCTGCCTTGTTAAAAAGGCTCAAGTGTATTCCTCTGGTATATTCTTTTTGTTTTTATGATGCCAATTTATTTTTTTATTATTAATGTTGAGAAAAATAGCAATGAGAGTTTCAAAACAGGCTAGGACAGTTACAATAATTAATACGTTGCATATTGTTGTCTTTGTAATAGCTATTCAGAGTACAAGATGCAGACATGATATCTTGTCTAAATACTATTAGGACAAATCTCATTGAACTAAGTAGCTGTATATGTATCCTAGCTATTTTGTATATACAGATACATATTTTTTTTCACTACAAAATGGTCCATTTATATCCCCTTTTTGTTTGGTTTTGCCAGAGATGGGTATTCCATTGCCACTCAAATATTGTAGACGTGTGAATTCAGCAAAGTAATCCAATATATTCCAGTAGTCTGTAATAGTAATGGGTTATCCGCAGGACTGGCAATGTCAGAAGTTGAGCCTTTTACAGCTCAGCATATTAATATGGCTTTACTTTTTTTTTTTTTTT